CAGTGCTTTTCCAGGGAATTTATCTGTTACAAACAGGAAGGAGCTGTACTTCCCATCTGCATCACTGGCAAACATACAAGGCATACACATGCAGGTACTTCATGGACAAGCGTGGCCCTCCCCAGTCGTCCGTGGGCCCTCGCACGCATCTGCAAAGGGGTTCCTCCCGCAACTGACTTTGAAAGGATGAATGTGTTTAGTGTAATTACATGAAGAGCAACAAGATTTACTCCCCCGTAGTAAAATTCTGAGTAAGAGTCATGATCCAATCTTAACCACATCAGCCATGGTTCCACCAGCTGACGACTGACTTTGGGAACACTCCAACAGAGCTGGGCACACGCCAGGACGAGCCAGGCATCCGGGTGTCTCTGTCCCCGTCTCAGAAAGGTACAAAACAGTGTGTATGTGTGGAAGAGACCAAAATGAACACTCTTCCAAAGGGCTAGTCTCTGCACAATGGCATGTCTAAAAATTGTTTCAATTGATAGAAATGGATTCACTATGATGTCAAACATTTTTTTTCCTATCCTTTTAATATGCAAAATAGAAAATGAAGATGCAAATCTGGAAAATAAGCTGTTTCCTTTCCTTAAAAAATAAGCCAACAACAAAAAAATGAATTAGCACTTGAAGAAAACAGCAGCCTGAGAGAAGAATGGAGTACTTACTGCCCACGTTTCACTATAGCTGTACTGTGCCCACAGAAACAGTTTCCTGCTCGCTGGGCCGAGTCCAGACCCTCGAACAAGGCGGGGGTTAGGGGCACCGAACCCTGGGTGGTCAAAACTCCACACGCAACTTCTGACTCCCCAAAACTTAACTACTAACAGCCTACTGCTGACTGGAAGCCTTACGGAAACATCAACAGTTGATCACCAAGTATTTGGTATGTCTTATTATACACTGTATTCTTACAATACACTCAACTACAGAAGAGAAGGCATCATTAAGAAAACCATCAGGATGAGAACATACATTTACAGCACTGTATTGAAAAACATGGGCATAAAAGTGGACATGAGCAGTTCAACCGATGTTGCTCAAGTCAACAGTATCATTCAATTTCCTACTATTTGTAGGAACAGATACTTTTATTAAAATACAAGATGTCAGAGGTCCCGCCTCAGACTCTCCACCAGCTTCTCCTGCTGCTGCCAAACCGAGCCTCCTGGATCACTGCCCTGCTCTTCCGGACTTCACGAGCCCCCTGGTGCCTTTGTTGCATTTCTCCATGTCTCCCCTGCTAAGTCCTACCCTGAGGCTCAGTCATGTCAAGATCCACATAAGTAACCCATCGACACGCTGACCTCTCAGCATCCTGACTTCCCCTTCTAGCTCATTTATCTCTGAGGTGAGGCAGAAGCAAACAGCAGACATACACTATGAACCTAGAGGCTTAATAATGGTATTCCTGTCAAATAGGGGAAGACGTGTAGATGCTCATGACACAGGGGAAGGAGATTTTCCTAAGGGCTAACAAAATATGCTAGAGGAAGCAGGGCACACAAGTACTTCACTGTGAAAGAGAAATCTGGAGGAAGACCTTCTCCGCCAGCTCCAGCCAGGCATCCAATGGTCCCAGACAGATTTGGGGGGGGGGGGGAGGAGTGATCAGGCCTCCCTAGGAAACAGGCAGGAGGGCCCCGTGGACAAGATGACAACATCTGTGACCTCAGGATAATTTCTTGCCCTCAGAGAATGTGGCTCTTCCTCACGGCTACTCGTGCCATTCCCCGTGCCTGTGAGCCCTCCTCTGTTCTCCCGGCCTTCCCAGCTCAGCTCAGCTGCGCCTCCATCCCTGGGCTCCTCCAACCACCTCAACTAAAGCACCACATCCAGAATTCACTATCCAGGATCCGTATTTGTTACATATCCTAGACTGTGCCTATCTCTACGCATACGTTTGATTTCTTCTCCCAGTCTTCCACAATGCAACGTTATCTTTCCAAACAGAAAAACACATCTGATAATGTTCCCCAGCTCAACGACTCAAGACTGATGCTCCCCTCTCTAACTTGGATAAAACCCCAATTCTGCAGCTTATCACTTCAAGCCCTTGCTGTATGGTTCCAGGCTGCAAAGGCCTGCCGCTGCCCCCTGCCCCGAGCCTGGTTCCTGCTCAGCGGCACATCTCTGTGCCTTCTCACTTGGTCTGAAAAGCTCTTCTGTTCAGAGAGCTGTAATGTAATGCGGGAGCCCGGGTGCTAGTCACACCGAGACTGAAAGGTAGCTCTGCCTCTCAGTGGGGACCCAGATCTCCAGCAGGACTTACTACACTATACTTACTACACTTTATCTGTCTCATTTCTTAACCACATCATTAGTTTTACTGGCGGGGACCACGGTTATGTCTGCATCCCAGTGCCCGGACAGCTTCCGGTGCAAAGAAAAACACACATCACTCATTTCTCACTCCTTGAATCAGGAATCCTGCCTCACAAACTGTAATGAAGGTGTAATATTACTAACCCTTCACTAATCAAATATCAAGGGAATAAAGCATTCCTTTTCATATTTAGTATTCCTTCCTATCCACTCTTCCTCAGTTAACCAGGAAACCAGGGAAGAAAAAAAAAGGTATCAGTCTCAGTGCTGTCCTACAGAGAATATCGACTGTATCTCTGAAATCATCCAGATTTTACCCTGTCAAACTGGTTTATCTTTGACGGCTGCGAATGTTCATGGACTCCTTCTCTCTAACCTGAATTGCAATACTGGAATGATTACTGTCTGCGTGCATGTGTGGCTTCTCCTCGTAATTTGGCCACTGGTTCTGAGGAGGAGCCATCCGGTCCTGGGATTTGGAAGCTGGGAAGGTGAAATACTCTCTGGTGTACGTCTGAGTGGGGATGGGGTAGGCCTCAGGTCTCGGTGGAGGGGTCTGTTCCTGTAAAATGGGAAGAAGAAAGAAAAGTGAGCTTTTGGCAATTTGTACATAAACTAATTTAATTTCCAAAGACCTGTTTTAAAATATAGTAGATACATTTAAAACTGTGCTAAAAATTAAAAGTGTTTGATCCTATACGGAGAATAATGAAAAACCTTTTATTTTGCCCTGACTTCTTAACTTAAAGCTAATTTCCTTATTATGTTAAAAATGAAGAAGCCCCCAGGAATTCTAAACACTGCTGATGTGCAGAAGAAATGCACGAGGAGACAGTTCAGGGATTCTGCGGGAGGCCTGAGTTTTGGCTGTAGTGAGGATGTTCGCTTCACTCTCACACCTCAGTGCAGAGGTTCCCGGTGGAGACAGACGTTATCTTAGCTGTTGTTCCGGGGGCATATGCGCTCTTCCCTCCAGGGCTAGGAGGCTGATCTGTTGGAAAGAGACAGGGAAAAGCAAGGTTTTTTGTTTTTTTTTTCAAGTATCACAATGTTTATTCCATGTCACGTGACAAGAGCTCTTTAAGGGCAGTGAGGAGTCAGCAGAGACCGCTAGAGGCCACGGGACAGATCAGGGCTCATCACACCCTCTCCTCTCTCCTGAATAATCAGAGCCCAGAGCTACCAAGCTTCATCGACAGACCAGGGACTGGCAAACATTTCTGGCAATGGGACAGACAATAAATATTTTAGGTGCTGCAAACTTTGTATGTGTTGTATATCCTTCTATTGATTCTTCTTCTTGTTAACAACCCTTTAAAAGTATGAAAGCCATCTGAGCTCCTGCTGGCAGCCTGCCAGCTCCTGCTAGCGACAGGATCAATGGCTCGTCTAGAGCATCCACTGAATCAAAGTGTTCTAACCTCGTTTTCATTTTCTATTGGAAGAACATTACTTTTGATATCTCTCACAAAAAGCACATTTCTGTTAGCCAGGATATGCAGGTAATCCTACTGCTTTGATAACTAAGCAAGCACGGGGTGTCCCCCCAACACGGACGGTGACTGAGCATGTCCAGGCCAGGGAAGGACAAGCACAGTGACCCTTCTTACTTGCCACGTTGGGGCTGGAGCGGTGATCAGCCCGGTTCTTCATCAGTCTGTCGTCACCTGGCAATTTCTTAGGTTCGCTGTATTCTGCCCAAGGCAGCTGAGGGCTCTCAGGTGACCCGTTTGGAGCTGAATTATTGTAGAGCTCAAAACCTTCACTCTTCGGTCGGGGTTTACCTGAGCCACGACGATCTGAAACTGAAATCAGTGCATTCAGGCTCTCCTCATTTATTCAAGATTTTAAACACCCTATTTAGTCTTTAAAGAGAGATGAATCTATAAATATTTAAAATTCTGTAAGACCTTATTTTTAGCGAAGAAATAAGGTAATTTTTTTTATCTAAGAGTAAAATCTTTCTCAAGAACCTTAAAAGCAACACTTAAATGGCACTGATGGGAAAAGGTTCTCTTTCCAACCTTCTTTTCTCATAAACTCCACCTGTTAAGTCACAAGGCTACTTTTAAAGCAACTTTTTAAAAGATACACTTCCCTCACTTTCTGAAACACACTCCTCCTTTTAGTAGCTGGCACTGCCATCAGCTGGCGTGACCGTCCACGCTCTACTTCCGGCTTTCATGTCTCCCTGTGCGGCAGTGTTCTCTGTTCTAACAGCTTCCCTCTGACTTCTAACTCATGGTCTGGTGTGCTTCTCGGAAATGACCCTAAGCTGTGACATTAGACCACCAATATGGTACCGTCCTGAAAAAAGTGAGAAATATGCTGAGTTGAGGTCTACACTACAACACATGGTTGTGTGAAGATACACGGTTTATTCCAGTAAACAGCAGGCCCAGGTTCTCAGAAGCTTTGGTTGCTGTCGCTGTGCTACCCTTAGGTCGACTTCAGGTCCTGGACTTGGTGGAAGCTCCCGGATCACTGACTGATGAAGAAGGGAGCTCCGCCAAGGCCAGACCGAGCGGCTGTGCACAAAGTTAACAAAGTAAACGCGAAGTATATAATGATTTAAAAAGATAATGTGAGTCCTAATGGACTTTTCTCTGTGATTTCTGAACTAATCCTTTTTAAAAAGCCTTAAATTTATATTGGTTTTATTCTGAGATTTTTGACGTAGGTACAAAATCATGGTTCCCACCAACAGATTACTTTATCCGAATAACTGAGCTTTTAATTTAAAGTGAACTACATGTAACAGGATAACCATGTCCTGCACACACAGGACTGAATATACTATTCATACACACACTCATATACGTTGTTTCAGTAGAGAATCCTGCTTGTTCTTTGAAGACTTTCTATCCCGCATCACCCGCTGACCACGACTAAGTGCCTAGTGCAGGATGGACGGAAACCCTCCAGCAGCCAGCCAGTCCCATGGGGGTTCCGGGAGGGCGGGAAGATAGTGCATCACCACGTGGCCAGACACTGAACGCTGCCCTTGGCTACTTATCCCGGGCATCTTGCCGAAGTGCCTGCATCCCCAGCTGGGATGGTGAAAGCAGTAGCACCTAATCTAGGGTTTTTGTGGCTACGAAGATAAGGTCAGGACGGTAAAATGCCTGGCATGCGGTAAGTGATCAATACAAGCCAGCTATTACTGGCAGTGGTCAAAGGAAGAGACGGCATGCAATTCTCCCCAATGAGCTCTTACTTCTTTGCATCATTGGGGACGGCTGATTGAGCAGGGTGGCGAGGCCGTGATAAATTGCTCCCTGCTTTGCGACTTCTAGTGTTACCACAGAACTTGTTCTTGTCATGAGTTCTGCCGCCCTAGGAAAAAGAGAGTAGCACAAACATAAAGAAAATGTCACAACGACAGCCTGTGACCAGAGCAACCGACGGCTATTTTGAGTAACAGTTCTGACCTTCAGACAGATAACCTACTGCCCATTCCCTTCCTTTAAAGATTAACTAAGCACACATCTCCTATTGTCATATTAAGAACGGTAAGATGATACTCAGACATTCCCAGGACGTGCCAAGAGTATGTTTTTTTTAAGCTTCAAAGAAACTGCTCCAAACCAAAATACATTATTTATAATCTGCTAACAAATGAGGTGTCATGTACACTGGTTTACATTTAAAAAGGTGAAGAGTAAGGGCACAGCTTTTTAGCATTATTTTTTGTCTTCTAATTCCAAACGTGAAACATCCCTAAACACGTTAATATTCAGCTTTAAACAAATACATAAATGATACCTTTCTTGAGAGAGTCCTACCAGACTTCGTCCGTCCACACTGAGGAGCTGGTCTCCTGCAGCCAGGCGTCCATCCTGTGCACACCCAAAAGGCATGTGTTTTGGGCGGTGGGGACAGCCAAGGGCAAGAGGAGGAAGAGGAAAAGTCAATGGCAAGGAAGCTCACATTTGTTTTTTCAGCAAACAGTCTACATGGTGTTTTATAACAACACATACCAGTGGGTCATAGCAGGTCATTTGCTGACTAGGACATACTGAAAACTTACATCTTTAAAAATGACACTAACCCCATCAGCAGCACCTCCTTTTACAACAGACTTGACATAGATTCCAAGTTTATCTTGGCCAGCACCCTAAACAAAAACAAGGCAACACTGCTTGAAAATACACAGTAAAAAATACAATCCTCAGTAAAATAAAACAAAAATAAAAAAAATAAAACTAGTACATAGATAATTGCAACAAAAGTCCTGGTTCTTGCTTTTACATGAAAATTAGTACTAATAAAATTAACACTCTATTTGGTAAATATAAAGGAACGAACAGGAAATGTACCTATTTTATCTTCCTAAATCAAAGAGTACTTACTCTGGAAAAATCGATTATTAATAAACCAGTTGATGAGATGGCTAAAGTTTAAGTGAGCTAAAGCTACCCTCATGACATATACTATTAATCACTTAGATACAAAAGCAATTTACTATAGTATTTTTATATTCCAATATTTGCCTATATCCCCTTATTTTATTTCCAAAGCTGTATTTTAAAACTTAAGAAAAAACTTCTTGTGGCATCCAGGAAGGGGGACTTAGGTAGTAAGGGAGGATTCTGTAGAAAATCCTGTGCATCGTTTCAACTGAAGGATCATGTATTCTAACTCTAGATGAATACGGAGCTAGGAGCCCCGATCCACACGGAATGCACATCAGGACAAGCAGCTTCTGTGAAACAGGTTTCAGGAGCACATACAACTCTTGTACAGAATCACCAACATTCTACTTGGACACTCCAACCAGAACATAAAAATCCATTATGGATAACTTATTGGAATGACCGCAGGAAGCAATCGCATGCGTGAAATCTCACCTGGATAGCACTGCCCATGTTCCACAACCAAGGATACGGGTCTTAGCTCAGGGTAATTTCAATAGTTATGAAGTACTGGGTCATAAATAAAACATATAAAAGGTATCCCAGAGAGTTGTAGATACAGTGATTTCAATAAATGACTTAATTGAAACAAATGTTCTACAACACTCTGGAAGTACATAATTTCCACTGGAAAACTCTTCATTCCTCCTTTTCGCTAAGAGAGCCAGTTTGGAGACTACCGTCTGACTGGGGAGCTCTCCCCTCAGGGAAAATCCAGCATGTAGCATGCCACTGTTTCATGAGCCTAAAACCATCTATTACGTATCTCATTATGAAAATGGCATAGGATGTCTCAATTTAACAAAACAACTCAATTTTGGGAAACCGTGTGTTTCAAGTTTCGTGTGGTTACATTACCTGCGGGCTGAGTTTACAAAAGTTCTATACAAGGTAAAAAAATCAAGTCCTCTCTTTTGCAGCTCCCCACCCTCTGGTCTAGGTTTTCCCATCTGTTCACCTCCAAATGTTCCTCGGTGTCTGTCTGTACCATATCCCCTCGCTGCACATCTCCTGCCCAGCCCCAGGCACCCGACTGCCTACCAGACAGACGCATCCCCTTACAAATCATCCAGCACTTCCAGTACAACAGGATAACCAAGTGCAAGCTGACACCTCTGCCTGGTCCTTCTGCTCCCCACCCCCTCACCCCCCCACAGACACAGCACTGAGATAGTTGGCAAAGCTTGTACTTTAAGTTTGAAATTCCACAATAAAAAATACATAGAGTAGGCACTCAATAAATGGCAACTTCCTGAATTTTAGCATGTCACTTAGCGAGAGAGAAACAGAGCAATAGATACACCTTTTACCTGACTTCGCCCAGGCCAATCCTGGGTTTCCCTGAACCTAGGGACCTAACATGCAATCGGGGGAATTACTTCTAAGCCGGCCCCACCCCGACCCCATCTGTTATATGACATAGGGTATTCCTTCTCATGTCATCTACTTAAATGATTTTTCCCCAATATATTCCATACAATCTGCGATTGACTGCTTAATTCAACAACTCAGCTATTTAAATGACAATTTTACTCCTTCAACAAATATTCACTGAATGCTTCCTTATACTATCCTAAGCTCTGTACACACATCTGTGAACAAAGCAGACAAACACCCCTGCCCTCATGAAGCTTATATTCCACAGTAGTCTTCCCTGTAGCTGTCTAATAATTTTGGCTGGGGCACTGAAAATCCCCTTCTTTTCCTTTTCTGCAAATGCTGCAGGGTATTTCCTTACAGCTAATACCTGAGGCCAGATTGTTTCTCAAAGGTTCTAAGCATAACTACCTGTTTCCTGTGTTCTGTGTCTGACCGAGAGCAAAGCAATGTTCACAGCATTTCAGGATACAGTTTTAGTGTGAATGGGTGGGCACTTACATCTTCATGATGTAGTATAGACCATAAAAATTGTCCTTTTAAGAAGATGCTTAATTACTACCATCTTTGAAAAGAAAAATGTTTACTAGTAATACTAATAGCATATTTTTAGTAACAGTGATATAAATAATAAAATACCAAATACATACATTTTTATAAAAATTTTTAAATTTTTAAAAAGATTTTAGTTATTTGACACAGAGAGAGAGCATAAGCAGGGGAAGCAGCACACAGAGTCAGAGGCAGAGGGAGAAGCAGGCTCCCAGTGGGGAGCCCGATGTGGAACTCGATCCCAGGACCCTGAGATCATGACCTGAGCTGAAGGCAGACGCTTCACGGATGGAACCACCCAGGTGCCCCCCAAAATATATACATTTCAAAACAATAAACCAAGACCTCCCCCATTGCTGGTACTCTTTATAAGAAAAAATATTAATAATGAAACAGATAACATTTATTTAGACAAACTGTAAGAGGACTCTGTCTTTCTAAAAATCACAAAATGGAATGATAAAAGAACAAGAGAAAAAAACCGTTGCTTCTCCCTCCGTCAAGGCCCTGCTCACACAGCCTCTGTTGCTCCTTTGTCACAATTCTCACTCTGGGAAGGGGAGTTCCACACTCAGCATGAACGGAGGAAGCTCCACTGCAATACTCCTCTCTGCCTTCAGCCTCTCGTTCAGACCAGGAATCACACCCCTGAGGGGAGCTACCAGGCCCCACATTCCATTTTAGACAACTGATCCAGGCTTCCATGTGGGAGACTCTGTACGAACTGCAAGTACTATGTAAATTACCGGAAACCCCGTAGCACCTTTCGAGAGGCAGTTTAGGATCTGACATGCGATGTGAGGTTTATGAAGTCTACGTTCAAATATTCAAGTAAAACTGATCATGTAATATAGATACTGGACAGAATCATGACCGTCACATCTTTAAATTCAGGCAGAAGTTTCCAGCATAAATCTCCCAACAGTCCTGACCAAGCCCTCCTTGTCACTGTCCTGCTGGTCCCCTCCGTGCCACCTGCCGCAGGAACCCCTTCCTGAAGCACGCCCCGCAGGGCTCCTGACCCAAGACCAGCGCAGCTGCCCGCCTGTGCACAGCACCACGCCCCCCGAACCCAAGGTCAGGCTCTCGCCCCTCTCACCACACGCTCGGCCTGATCCAGATGCTCCTTCACGTGCCCCCATTCCATCCTGCTTCCGTGTTCCTGCCTTTGTTCACGTTGTACTTTCCACACAAAACGTCTGATGCAATCTGTCTGCCAAAACGCTTTCGTCATTCGATTCCTGGGCTCACCTGCCACTATTCACCAAGCCACATAGCTTCCCAGCCTCAGGATGGATACAAGCTCTCTCTCACCTATGTGCTATGTTCCTGGAACAGCTGCTCTGTCCCGTATTCCAGCTGACAGCACAGACGGCTCCCCACCGCCCGCTTTCCCTGGTCGCTGCCTCCTCTCCTCCTACCATGTGGTCGACAGCGTCCTCTCAAACCCTGACACGGGGCAGTCCAGAATCCACTGAATGAGTACATCAGTATCATATTCGTGGGGTTAGGAAGCAGCTGACGCAGCTATCACAGACTGAGCTGGTAACACTGGAACGTTCCTAGTTTAACAAGGAGGAGCCCTAAGCATTTCTGACTACGGCACCACACATACTGTTTCCAAAGAAGCTATCTTCCATTACTGTTGTTGGGTAATGGACGATGGGAATTTGTCTAAGTTCTAAGCTATAATCACGTTAATTCCAAGTTCAATTTATCAGTGTATCTGCTACTCAGAAAAGGAGATCTTCATCTGAGGAATCACGAGACAATGATTCTTAGAGACCTCAACTGCAAAGACCCAGTAGGCTTCCAAAAGGTCCTTTTAAGGTTGGTCATAAAAACAGACTTAATAATTAAGTCACTGACGGTGCATGATGAAATACATAAAAAAAAAAAATACTCTTGGGGGAGGGTGATACACAAGTGAAGAATGTGGATCTAGAATATTCTAAAGAGGTATCCAAGCTTTGGTTAGCATCTGAATCTTACTAATGTGGTCTCAATCTTGCACTACTTACCTAGAAATACTCTTTATTTAAGAGACCCACTGCTTACATTTCTGTAAACATGTTGCCATTCTGCTAACCTTTAACCTTCTCCTGGAGACATGGTCCCTTTAGCAGATCTACTCCACTGGAACTCCCTTCCATCCTCCCATTCTGGCCCCCTCCCACCTCTGCTTATTTGAATCCTATCCATACTTCACGTGCAGCTCACTGTTATAAACTGGACATAAAAAACTGCAGTACAATTGTTGTACAGAGAAATGACCAGTTCCACTGGTTATTATTTTAGAAAAACAAATCTACAGATGGATACTCAGAAATCAAAGAAGTCTAAGGAATTTATTTTTAAAGATGTTATTTGTTTGACAGAGAGAGAGCGAGCACGAGCAGGGGGAGCAGCAAAGGGAGAGGGAAAGCAGACTCTCCGCTGAGCAGGGAGCCTGACTTGGGGCTTGATCCCAGGACCCCGAGATCATGACCTGAGCTGAAGGTGGACGCTTAATCGACTGAGCCACCCAAGCACCCCAGAAGTCTAAGGAATTTTCTAACTATACACACACATACACATATGTGTGTATATACATAAAATCAACACGGGTAGTTACTTTCAACCCAGAACACCACAATCTCTGGCCAACTCCAAGGGGACCCAATGTCTCCACCTGGCTGCACCAGCCCTGGTCTGGAATGTCCACCTTGACAGGTTGGACAGAGGAGCATATAGGTGCTGCTTCCTCCCTGCTAATGCCACTTGGACTGGGAAC